GTTAATCCTCTGTTAATGTGGGTCCTTTTTTGGGCTTATGTTGCCCAGAAAAAGCTACCTGGACTGTAACTCTTTGTTTCTATTGTCTCACATTGTCCTAATCCTAATTGTCCAAATTTTTTTTACTCTAATTATATTGCTATTTTTATTATCATTTTATTACCATTAAACTTTAAACATTTTAAAAATAAGTGATTGGCATTTTTCACATGCATATGCACAACCCCAGCACCTCCCATCCCTGCTCTGTATTAAAATGAGGTTATTAGGCCTTCACACGTGCACAATTCTTCTCTTCAATTGGGTCAGTGGTCTCAAACTGGGTCAGTGGTCCCAGGGATGAAGTCAGGAAGGTCTTCCTCAGGTCTCTGTGACCCTCTGTCACAATCCAAAGCCCCCTGCTTAATGATGGATTAACACATTAATCCATCATTAATTAATAAGGTGCTGGGCATTGTTCTACTGGTTCCAATATGTTCCTATAATGGTTCACTTGCTCTCCTTTCTTCCACAAATGAGCTCATAATATAACAATTAGCTTTAGCTTAAGCATCTAATAATCATTAACTTATCGTTGGTGTATTTAGCTTCAATATTGAGAGGAATATGGATTTGTCTTTACAAACAAGTGTGGGTCTGCTGGTAGATAAAACCAGCACTGGGACATAAAAGAAACAATGGGAAGGGTTCCACTGTTGGTGAATGGAAAAAGATATTTGCTTTTACAAATAAACTTTAGGTTTGCTGATAAATGAAATTAGATATTGAAGGATGAAAGAAACAATGGGGAAGAAAAACCCCTAAATTCCACAAGAATTAAAAATTAAAAGGGAGGGTTATACATTAGAGGGAAATCTTTGGTATCAGGTGTATTGGGGAGTCTGTCCCCCTCAAGCACCTCAGAAATGGGGAAAGAGAGAAGGGAAATTAGGATAAAAAGGAGGCTGCATCCTCCAAAAATGTGAGAGACCCCAGGGGAATGCCCTATGGCCTCTCCCTTCATTCAGCTAAAGTTACAGGACTCCTCTGTCTCCTTTTTGGACATAAACCTCTGATATTTGCGGATTAATTTTCCTAACAAGATGAATTGGTTCTAACCCTCAGCTAAAATCTTTTAATACTCTTTTAATACATGATTCACTACAACAAGGCTTTGTCTTCCCCTCTCACAGTTACTGGTCCCCTCCAGCTCCCAGGGTGCCAGCAGGAAGGAAAACAGAGGGAAGGTGTAGATTGGAAAGAAGAGGCTCTGTTTATTGGGGCATAGAGGGTGCCCCTCCATTAATTTTCCTAACATAAAGAGACTCAACTTTCTCTGCAAAGCACCTTCTTGTGCTGGCTGCCAGAGGTTAATGCATCCAGTCTCCACCTTCCTTGTATTTTCCTGGAATGTGTATGATCCTGGAATGTGGATGTGTGTGAGGGAGTCTCCTGCAGTGAAAGGGTGAAGCCCAGACTGGGCTGTGGAGACCCAAGTGCCTCACACCACTGCAGCCAGAGCAGGGCTGGGCTGGGCTGGAGGGCAGGAGGGAGCCATGGCTTGTGTGAGAGCTGCCACTGCTCCAGTGCCAGGGAAAAGCTCAAGAGTTGCTGCTGTAATTCCAATTTTCTTGGCCTTTCTATCCAAGTGTCTGATTGCTCACATTGCTGAGACCTCTCGGAGTGAGCTCGCAGCAGCCAGAGCAGGGCTGGGCTGGGATGGAGGGGTGCAGGAGGTCACTGGTGACTCCCTGCTGGCCCTGGGACAGGCTGTGGGGGAATCTGGGCAAGGGGGACACGATTTGGGACATGTGTGTGCCACCTGTGCACAGCAGTGTCCAGGGAGCCAGGCCAGGTGTCTGTGGTGCAGTGTGGGCATGGCTGCTCTGCCTGGTGTGTGTTTCATCCCTGCCACCAAGAATAACAAAGAAAACCCCCAGCAACCCCAGCAGCACTTCTGGGACTCTCACAGCTGAACATCTCAAATTACTTTTCAAAATTGTGCAATGTCTTGCAGTGGACTGTCAGAAGTTAAATGAACTACATTCAGGCTTGTCTTACAGCCTAAGGAAACCCAAATGAACTCCATTTTTTCAGCCTAGACACAGGAAGACCATTTACCCCAGGTGATCAAAGACCAAAGTCTGGGAAAGAGCAGGGGAAAAGTGCATCTCTCTTGGCTGCTCTTACACATCATTGTCAACA